AGGGTCACTTCAGTGACACAGAAGGCTCAAGAAGTGAGATACTCTGATTCACTACACCTTATCAATTCAGCATTTTCCAGAATCTCTTTTTCTTGGGATTTTTCAATTGGATGCTTCTGAAATGTTGACTTTTTTTCCCTCTTTAAGTGCTAGGTAAGTGCTCTACCACTGAGCTACATCTCCAGTCCTGTTTTTGTTTTGATTTTGAGATGGGGTCTTGCTAAATCACTCAGGCTGACCTCCTGCTCAGTCTCCCAAGTAGTTAGGATTACAGGTGTGTGTGTGCTACGATTCATGGCTTGAATTACTGACTTTCTTGTCTCAACAGCAATAGCTGAATGATGGCACCACTAAACTGGTGAATTAGTGCCCGGCACAGCTTGAGGCTCTATCCTTTATGTTCATGATCATTATTTATTTGACTTTCTAAAAGGTATGACAGAGAATACCCTTGAAAATGATTAATATTCCACCCCCTGCCTTTCACTGTAACTTAAAGCTGGTCAACCACATGACATTATAAACTTGACCTGATTAACCAGGCTTCCCTGGAGGAAAATGAGCAACAGTGACTAAATGACTGTGACTGGCAGATGGCTTGTCCCCAGGAGACTAAAAAGGTGTGTTGAAGTTAGTGCGTTGAGGGGCCGGCTGGTCTGCCTGAGGACTGATACCCAGGTAGGAAGTAGGTAAGCCCAATAGGAAAATGAAACATCTCCTCGTGACATTGCAGCCCAAGTGATCCCTGGGTCAATGGCCAGAGAGATTCTATTTCACCAGCATCAACAGCGGTGCTTGGCACAGAGCAGGGGCCCGGAGGAGGACTGGCAAGTGAATGGAGGCCGCCGAACTGACCTATTCGATGCAGATTTCCACTGTTCATTGGCTCATCATCCATTCACCCCTCTGGCCTTCTCTCCACGCAGTATTTATGTGCTTACAATACGTGAGGCGATAGACCATGGACTACAGAGGATTCCACCCCTTCTGCAGAGTCACCTCTGTGCTTCAACGGACCATTGTTTAAAGGAGAAGGAATGAGTGGCAGAATGGCTTGAACACAATTACATTCTCGTTGCTGTGCCTTAGATATAGTTTGTTCCCAAATGTTCCTGTGCTGGAAGCGTGGTCTGAAGTGTGAGGGGTTGAGGGGGTGGAGCTTTTAAGAGGTGGGGCCTACCTGTAGTTCCAGCACTCTGGGAGGCTGAGGCAGGAGGATCACAAGTTTGAGGCCAGCCTGGGCAGTTAAGTAATTTAGCAGGACCGTGGCTTGGAATGTAGCTCAGTGCAAAAGCCCTGGTTCAGTCCTTAGTACTACGAAGAAAAACAAAACAAAACAAAAAACCAGAGATGGGGCCAAATGACAGTGCATCGAGTCATAAGGGCTCCACCTACATGAATGGACTAAGGCTGGTTTTGCAGAATAGGATGGCGTCTGATAGAATAGTTCCTTCCAGGGTGGGCAGTTACATTTTTCAACAAAGCACACCTGGCCCCTCTTGTCTCTTGTTTCATGTCTTTCCATGTGTCTTCTCTCGCAGGCACACCCCAGCCATATGACATCATCCACCATGAGGTTCTCACTAGAAACGGGCATTACGCTTTTGACCTCCAAAACTGTGAGCTAAATAAATCTCTTTTATTTACAAATTTCCCACCCTTGGGCGTTTTCTTACAGTAACGTAAACTAGACCGAGACATTCATCTATGTTTACTACCCCACAGACTCTGTGCTTTTGGTAAATCTTGGTTACCGCCCTCATCGAGTGCCCAATCTGTGTGCATCCAAAAGGAAATTTCTGCTGTTTCGTCCCGATGTGGTTTAGGCACTGGTCACCGAGCAGGACACTGGACTAGCTTTACCCGATGATTTCATCAGAAATTGTTTTGGCCTACTTGTTTCCTTGGTAACCAACAAACTAAAGCTGCTTCTATTCCTTCCCACCCCTCTTCATGCTTCACTCTCTCCCTTTTGAACAAGGGGGTATTCCAAAGAGTAAATGTGAAGGCCTGTGCCCACTTCGAGGTTGCAATCCCCTGGATGGTAAGAACACTGCTACAGAGGGCTCTAAGGCCAACTCTGAGTGCTCAGAATGCTGTTTAGCATTCTACCCACCAGAATATGTATTAGGAGCCATTTTCCACCTACCACCTCTCCTAGTTCAGTGTTCTCCTACTGCTTTTCAAAATTAGAAGGAACCTCTCCTCTCAGGCATCATTTCAAAGAAAGAATATAAATCAAGGGCCCAATAAGCACTCTGGAAATTCTCTTCAGAGAGCAACATGGATAATTCCCAAGAGCTGTATAAATGGGTCTATATTCTACTGGAGGATCTGAAATTTGGAGGGACCATTCTTATTATTACTAGGTTTGGCTTCTGCTTTTGCTTTTGCTTATGCTCAGCTATATGAAATTTTTAATATAAAAGTTTTTGCCTTAGCACAGTGATTCTTAGTGCGCCTCTAATTTGGTGACCTTCACGCCTAGGCCCTTGCACACTATGGTTTACAATGTGCTTTTCAGGACTACTCCTGCACCAGATCATGATAATACATCACACTCTTTATCCATACTATGGTCACATGATCCTTCCTGTTCAGGGGTACTGCACCTCCAGTTCTGGAGTGCTACAACTGAGAATATCACTTGGATTCTGATTCATCCTCACAGTGTTTATGTGAAAGGGAGAGCAGGAATCACAGTTCCCATCCTACAGGAAGGGGAACCAAGGCACAGAGAAGTGATCTACCCAAAGTCACTCAGTAAGTCAGGAACAAACTGGGAATGGGTCTCACATAAGATCACCTATGTACCTTCCAGAGCCTCCTATATACGGAAACAAAAACACAAAAACAAAAAAACCAGATTGTCTCCAACAAATAAATGCATACACTTTGAAGTAAGTGCTTGAGGGTGGAGCTTCCTGTGAAGGTTTCAAAGCCTTCTAGCAACAGAGGATTCACAATGTAGAAACCAGAATCACATGAACTTTTAGTTAAATACTCCCGACTCACAGACAATACCAATTATTACAGCTCACTGACAACCTGGTTACCAACAAGAACAGTTAAGGGGAACATTCATTCATCTGTTCAAGAAACAAACCTTGGCACACAGCTCCTTTCTTGGCTTTCTATCACCTTAACTGTAATACCTAAACACTGCTACAACACTCCTACATCTGTTAGCATGTGATAAGGTGGAGGTGGGGGGTTAATAAAGTGTGTGTGTGTGTGTGTGTGTGTGTGTGTGTGTGGGTGTGTGAATGTGTCTGTAATAACTAGCCATTTTGGGGACAATTCTGGCCAGCAGAATATACATAAAATAGTCTAATGTAGTAATTCTACCCTGATTCCTTTTTCTTTCATTTTTTTGGATAATTTTAAAATTTCCTGACTTTGATTTAATGCAGTAAGTGATGTTTTATTTCCCACCTTCCATGATGAAGGTAGAGTCAAGGGGTGGATATAGCTGGGGTCAATTTCAGTGTCATGAAAGGGAAGCACACTCCCTTACACTTTCTCTAAAGGATAAAACTGACTGGTGACAACTGAACTGTTCTAACCAGGGAATGGCCTAGCACTGCAAGTACTTCCCCCCAGAGGCTAATACACTGCTCTATGAAATGTCCGGAATCCATATTTTCACAAACTACGCTAACAGCAGTCTCCTGCCTCCTAACTCCAGATCAAAGAAGGCACAAAGAAGACCAACAAATAATACTGAAGTGGTGCTTTGGATCCAGGAGACTCTGAGGTACCAGAAGAGGAGTTCTGATGGCCCCATCTGGTAGATGGGAAAAGTGAGGCACCAAAAAAACCGATTAAATACTCTCAGTCATAAGTAAAAGGGTACAGGAATGTAAGGAGAAGACTATTTATCCTGGGGAGGGAAGATATTCTACCAGCAATATCGAGCACGACTCTCAACACAGAAGCAATCCCAGCTCTTCAGTCACAACAGTAAAGCAGCCGAGGATATAACATCCTCAGAGGTTTGAGTAGATCCCTTCATAGAGGGAATCCTACATTCCAAACTCCAGGGCTCAGCCTTGAGACTGCATCCAGAGCTGGAGACTTAGGCAAGAATGGCCTGCACAGGCACATAAGGTAGCTCTGCTTCTTAAGGCATAGCTGCTGTCTGCCAGGAGTGGGCCCTGTCCTAGAAGGCCATCAGATAACACTTCCCCGGAAATCACCCTGTGAAGAAGCTTCATGGGTGGGACGTTGCTGCCTAAGAAAACCAACACCTCCAGGGCTGAGGGCGTCCAATAAATCTTAACAGCGTCACCAAACCAACCCATAACCTGTGCCACTTGGGAGAATGAGAGGAGAAAAAAAAAAGTCAAACGGATAATTTTCCATAGAGTGATTGTCTAACTAGAAAACCTGGAAGACTCAACTGAAACACCATGAGAACTAACAGGAAAATTTGCTCAGGTGACTGATTAATACTCATAAAAAAACCAGTAGCTTTTTGGGTCATTTGTGCATGGCTGGACACTTTGGAAGAACTGTGCTTTTCTGGAAGGCCTCTGAATTTTGTGCAATTGCCATTCTTTGAAAGATGGAGGTGAGCCAAAGGAACACCCCTGACCTGCTGCAACCAAAGTCCACCTCAACTCCAATATCAGAAGAATGCCTGGGGCGACGGCTGCCAGGGGGGAACGCAGTCCTTTTTGCCCTCTTCCAAGGCGACCCCCTTTCCCCAGCTACTCTCCTTTCCAACCCAAAAGACACACAGGGAGGGAGGTTTGGCAAGGATGGATGTGGGCAAAGATTGTGCCACGTCATCTCCAAAGGAAATACGTTTTTAAAAACAAAGGGAGCAGACTGAAAAGTCCCACAGTCTGTCCTCGTATTGTCTCCTTGGTCAGAAGCCTAGAGAATCCATGGTGCTGCACCTGGACTGGGGAATACCCCGGTTTGGTCAAAGTGGCCAGGGGAGGAAGGGAGGCCTTACTGGAATCTGTACCACATCTGGCCTGTGCAGGCCGAAGTCATTTTCGGTCGAGGCTGGCATGGAGCTGGGCCTCACGCACCATTCGGTCAAAGGAACGAGTATTGGTCTCCTCTCGCACCTTCTCGCGCACGTGGAAGGAGGCCCTGGCTGTGGAGCGAGCGCTCTCCAGCGCGCTGCGCCGTTCCCGGGACAGCTGCTCGCTGCGCTCCAGCTTGCGCCCTATGGCCTGCAGCAGCTCCCGCCTACGGCAGTCTTCGTCTTTCTCCACTTTCTCCTTGTTGGCGCGCTGGGCCCGCTCCTTCTCCAGCCGAGTCTGGCCCACGCGCCGGGCCTTCTGCTGCACTGCCTCTTCGGCCACCTGCGCCGCGTGCT